ACTAGTAATAGCACTCTAGGGTTGTTGAGAGGATTAAATAGCATGATGTTTATAAAACATAGTACCTGATATCTAATGAGCACCTAATAAATTTTAACTTGATTCATCATTGTCATTATTGTCATCATCGTTATTCTTTGCATTATAACATATGCTGACTTATAGTAAGCTCAAGGAAGGGAGTAGGTGGATGGATGGACGGATGGATGGATAGAAGGAAGGGAAGAAGGACAGATGAGGCAGAGAGAACTAAAGTGAACACACATAGTTCTATTTGGTGAACTGAACTTTACTTTAAAGGTGCTAATTCTCAGCCATTCAAAATTCTTGAATTGGTACCTCCTTGGATATTATGGAGGTTATATGTTTGTGGATCTTGGGAAAAAACTTTTAATATAACTGCATATACTATCATAGTTATTTTAGGCAAGTAATATAAAGGTTTTCTTCTAGGAACCTATGAAAACATTTGTCTGGTAAGAGTCAGGGCTTCCTTGGTATGGTATGGTATGGTCATGGATCATGTGACCAAGCCAGCCATGTATTACTTGGAGTGATCAGGGACTGATACTTCTGAGCCCAGGCTGTCCAGGCTGTTCTTTGACTCACAATGAGACCACCCACACAGCCATCGATGCAGCAAATCCACGGTGTTAGGGTTAACATTTGGTTACTCTCAAAGAACTCTTGATTTATGTAAGACTTGGAAAAAGCCTTTTAGTTTCTGTGGTTTAGAATTATATTTCCCAACTTGGCCCATGAATCCAGCTTGGTTTTTCTCCTCGTACCATCCTAACCACCCTCATTGTCACGTCGGAATTCTACGTTTACATAATTGACATGTTGAGAAGTTGCACTTAAACCACTCTGAAATCACATTTTAATAACATGGTAACCATCTTTTTTCCCCAGTAAATTGTTGAGAAGCTAATTCTTGTCAGCCTAAAAACTTGAATATACATTTGAATAAATCAGCCTCGCTACACTGTGGCAGCCTGCTGAAAATCCCCAAGGAAGATTATATTTTTAGTTGAACTACTTGTCACTGCACTGTGTTTTTAATATTGTGAGTCCTTTCTTTTCTTCATTTTTGAAGAATCTATTCAGTACCTTGTCATTCAGAAAAACAAGAACAGAACCTCTCAATTAGTAGCAAAGTTCTTCAGTATGCCTTTTAAGCTTAAACTGCTGTTATAGTTCAGTCACCGACTCATAATCAAAAAGATGTTTGAGCTGACATTATGAAATAATTGATAACCAAAAACAGAAAAGAGAAAAAAGGTCTTTGTTTGTCTCAGAAGTACAAGTAATGGGTAAGTTGACAAATTATATAGCCTTGGGAAGTGGATCTTAGTGGAAAGTTGCCAGCCTAAAAGAACAGCAGTGCCTCAATTTCCCACATCAGATTGTAAACTCCTGAAAGCTCATCACGGTGGTTCCTCGACTTGGCTGTGTGTGAATCAGCTGGTGATAGTTAGGAAACACGGATGCCTAGCTACAACCCCTAGACGTTTTGATTTAATTGTTCTGGAGTGTGAATGGACGCATGGATGGGTGGATGGATGGGTGAATGGATGGTTGGTTGAATAGAAGAAAGAAAGGAAAGGAGGGAGGAGGAAAAAGAGGGCTTATTCTGGGGTGTGCAATGGGCATTTGCTTTTAAAGCAATTTCAGAGATAAATTACAGCATAAATTTTCACCCATCAATATACTATTAGCCCTCAGCACCACGGTTCATATTTCAGAATATCATCTTTTTTTCTTTCAATAGAATGATAGTCATTCTATAAGAAAGACTTTAAATATATGTGTATATAAATACATATTTCAATTTTTTTTTTTTTTTTTTTTGAATTGGGAGTCTCACTCTGTCGCCCAGACTGGAGTGCAGTGGCCGCTCCCGGCCACCGCAGCCTCGACCCGCTGGGCTCCGGCTACCCTTCCACCTCAGCCTTCCACGTAGCCGGAACTACAAGCGCACGCTACCACACCTGGCTCATTTTTTTGGATTTGTTGTAGAGATGAGGTCTCGCCAAGCTGCCCAGGCGGGTCTTGAACCCCGCAGGTTCAGGCAATCCACTCACCTCAGCCTCCCAAAGGCGCGGGATTACAGGCTGAGCCACCGAGCCCGGCAAGACCTCATTTCTACAAAGAAATAATTTTAATCATTAGCCAGGCATGGATCGGTGACTCAGGAGGTTAAAGTGGAAGGAACACCTGAGACCAGGCGTTCTAGGCTGCAGGGAACCCTGATCATGTTACTGCTCTTCAGTCTGGGCAACAGAGAGAAACTGTGACTCAAAAAAATACATATATATTATTTACAGTATTTCCCACAACCTTCAGACTCCAACTCAAAAAAAAAAACCAAACCAAAAAAAAAAACCGAAATGAGTTCTCACTATGTTGCTTAGCTGATCTCGTACTCCTGGGCTCAAGTGATCCTCTCCCCTCGGCCTCCCAAATTGCTAGGATTACAAGCATGAGCCACTGAGCTGAACCTGTCTAGTATTTCAAAGAAGAAAAACCAAGTTTAAACATTTTTTTTTTTTTTTGAGTTGGAGTCTCACTCTGTCACCCAGACTGGAGTGCAGTGGCATGCTCCCGGCCACTGCAGCCTCGACCTGCTGGGCTCCGGTGATCCTTCCAAGTAGCTGGAACTACAGGCGTGCACTACCATGCCCGGCTAA